CTACTGACAGAAATCCTCTTTGCCTGCTGAAAAACTTCCAGGCAGGCCCTTTGCGGTTGCAAGCCCTCTTCCGGCCAGAGCACCCACTGTTGTCAGTTATCAGGCTAGTGGGAATTCCTTTACACGCTTGCAGGCGGTCTTTCCTTGACAATGAATGCCCTCATGGGCACTGGTCCTTTTTTTTCCTGCAGTTCCTAGGAGAAATCTTGACTGGCTTGGATCCTTTCTCGAGAAGTTGTGCCTCCCTGCAAGCTTCTGTTCTATTTCGCCAATGCGAGGAGCCCTTCAACAGAGCCTTTTTTACCTGCAACAGTCCCTATTTCAAAGTTTTTCCCAGCAACAAACCCTCCTCCAAAGCTTTGCCTGCATCAGACCATCCTCCGAAGCATTTTTTTTCTACGTGTCATACCCTTAAGCTTTTTCTAGAATTTCTATACTTCCCTGCAAACTCTCCTATAGCATTACCTGTAGGAGTCTTCCGCCTCCCTACACACTATAGGAACTGCAGTCAAAGATAATTGCAATAAAAAACAACCGTAGTCAACCAGAAGTCAATTTTTTTCTATAGGTTGTTTATTTCTTTGCAAACTCTCCTAGAATATTACCTGTAAGTGTCATTCGCTTATCTACAGACATTGCAGGAACTGCAATCAACGACAACCGTAGTACAGAATGAAGAATTCAATTTTTACTTCACAAGATCTTCCTCACTCAATGTTTGATGCTTTCAAATCCAAATTGAACATAACTTTCAACCATGTTTCAACTTAAGGAGGAGTGTTAGAAGTTAAATTAATTTATTCCTCTTGGAATTTATGAGGATTAGATTTATTTTCTAATATAGTTTTATCTTTTACCTATTTTAGATTTATTTTCTTGGATTGGATTTATTTACTTTCCTATTTAGGTTTTTCTATTTTATATTGTTTTCTTTATCTTTAAATAATTAATATGAATTGACTAATTGGAGATCTTAGGTGTTATATCTTTCCTTTCGTGTTATTTCATTTTTCCTGTCTTTTCTATTCTAGGATTCATGTAAGAATTATTTACAAATCCTTTGAATATCAATAGTACTACTCCGCATTATTTTGGAAATCAACACCTTTTCAACTAGTAGTTTTCTTTTTGGCCCACTTACTGCCAACATACCATTAAGATAATATAATAAAATGATAGAAGAATAACCAAACATCTTCACACAATAATAATGATCATCCTATGAAGAAAAGTTGCCTTGAATTCCCGTTATTCCAAGTGCAACTCTTCGACCTTAGCACAAGCATCATTCTAACTGTGGTTTATTTCAAATTAATGAATAAATTTAATTGTAGTCAATAACATATTAATGCTGAAAACCTTAATTAAAAACTAACATACCACTGCGTCACGTTTTATCATCATATTCTTTTTTGATCTAATAAATAAACTTATTTTGCAAGACCTCCCACCCCAATGATAATTTGGTCAAGTATCATGTTTGATTAGATAATAGCCAACTTCCACGTGAATAATTCTTTATTCTTCATGGCTTCATCATAACTCCTTGTTCACCTCCATTAGTAATAGAATAGGAATAATTTTAAGAGAGTAACTTCTTCATTGTCGCAAAGTTCCACTAGACCTCTTAATTGGAGCATTAGGAGCTATATATAATTTTTATTTAACTATAGGGATACCTCACAATGGTATTACATTCAACTTCAAATTTTCAAAGCAATCAAAGTTTGCAATCAACTTGCCTTTAGACAAGACCTATCCAACCATCCCTTTTTTTTTTTTTTTTTGAAAACAATATCATCGTTACACTACATAAACTCCCAATTTTGGGCATCCTAAAAAAGATAATCAAATTCACTATCATCATAGTCTATAAAAAACATTTAGATTTAGCATCAATATGAATATAGGAAAGACAAAAAAAAACCTTTAAAAACTACATGATCTTATGAGATTCAATGGTTTTCAGAGACCTTTATTAATCAAGGATGTTGCAATGCTAATAAACTCCACACAACATATTTAATAACCCAACATGCAATCCAAGATCCTAGCATGCTCATTCCTTGTTTTATTCATCCTCCATTACATTAAAGTTAGCAACGTCATTCGCTATTGAACTTGCTTACAAAACACCTCCAACCATCTTTAGAACAAATAATACTTTTATACAACAACAACAACAAAGCCTTAATCCCACCACGTGGGGTCGGCTACATGAATCATTTTTCTCCATTGCGTCCTATTTAGTGTCATATTTTCATTTAGTTCTAAAAATTTAAGATCATTTTTTATACAATAAGCCCAAGTCTTCCTATGTCTACCTCTGCCTTTCTTAACATAAGTCAAATTTAAAACATCTACTCTCCTAATCAGATCATTAGATGGTCGAAGCTTAATGTGACCAAACCATCTAAGATGACTTTCTCTAATTTTGCCCGTCGCAGGAGCTGCACCATCCCTATCACGGATATATTCAATTCGCATTATGTCTCTAAGTGTAAAGCCACTCATCCACCTAATCATTCTCATCTCGGCAACACTTAATTTAGTATTATGCTTCTCTTTTAAAGGCCAACATTCAGCGCCACATTTTAAAGGCCAACATTCAGCGCCATAAAGCATTGAAGGTCTCACTACCATCTTATAAAGTTTTCCTCTCAGACTAAGCGACACTTTTCTATCACACAAAAGCTCCGAAGCAATCCTCCACTTCAACCAACCAACTTGAATTCTACTATTAAAATCCCCATCTATATCACCATCTTTTTGAACAACAAACCCGAGATATCTAAATTGTTCACACCTTTAAATAATTTAATCACCCAAAGTTACACTTCTGTCACTATAGCTACTACTACTAAAATTACATTCCATGTATTCATTTTAGTTCTACTCAAATGAAGACCTTTAGACTCCAATGTAGACCTCTATAATTCAAGTTCTTCCTGGACTTTTTCTTTCGTCTTATCCATGAGAAGGATATCATCAGCAAAAAGCATACACCAAGGTACATCCTCCTCTAAATGTCCTGTAAGACCATCCACAACTAAAGCAAAAAAATATCTGCTTAAAGCTAATCCCTTATGTAATCCAACAGAAAATAGGAAAATATTTGGTCAATCCTCCTTCAGTTCGAACACAAGAAACGGCTCTAGTATAGATATCTTTAATGACTTGAATTTAAGTCATATCAACACCTTTCATCTCAAGAACTCTCCAAAGGTAATCTCTCGGGATCTTATCACAAGTTTTTCTAAATCAATGAAAATCAATTGTAGATTTTTCTTATTATCTCTGAACTTCTCCATCAAACTTCTCAATAAATGTATAGCTTTCATAGTAGACCTGCTCGACATAAATCCAAATTGATTACGAGAAATCTTCGTAATACGTCTTAACCTATGTTCAATTACCCTCTCCAATAATTTTAAAGTATGACACATCAACTTAATTCCTCTATAATTTGCACACTCTTGTGCATCCCCTTTATTCTTAAAAATGGGAACTAAAATACTCTTCCTCCACTCCTCAGATATCCTTTTAGTTTTTAAAATAATATTAAAGAGTTTAGTAAGCCAAGAAACTCCCAAATTTCCTAAACATTTCCATACTTCAATTGGGATATCTTCAGGTCCTACAGACTTTCCACCCTTGGTTTTCTTTAAAGCCTTCAAAACTTCTTTTTTACTAATGCGACGGTAAAAATGAAACATTTTATTATTATTAACGATATTAAGATCACTAAGGTTGATCGTATTTTCAGAAACTTCATTAAATAGTTTATCAAAATAACTCACCCACCTATGTTGAATATCTTTTTCTAAGAAAACCACTTTTTGATTTTCATCTTTGATACCACTTTAATTGAGTTTAATCTTTACTTTTTTTTCTCTTTGTTTGGCTAGCTTATACATATATTTTTCACCCTTCTTAGTATCTAATCTATTATCTTAGTATCTAATTCACCCTTCTTAGTATCTAATCTATTATAAAGATCATTAAAAGCAGAATTTTTAGCATCACAGGTTGTTCTTTTAGACTCCATGCAGGTCATTTGATATTTTTCCCAGTTCTCTAAATTTTTACATTTAAACCAATTTTTATAACATAACTTTTTATATTTTATCTTTTCTTGCACATTATTATTCCACCACCAACTATCTTTATTTGAAGAAACTTTTTCTTTTGATTCTCAAAGTACATCTTTTGCTACTTGTTTAATAGTGTTTGTTACTTTTTGTTACTTTTATAGTTTTGTTACTTTTTATTTGAACAAATAATATTTTTTATAAAATGCTAAATTGCTGCATGCAGAACTTACAGTACAAATTTGAAGGAATATGATCAATCTTGCAGAGAACTTCACCATTGCCACATTATTAATCACTTTCTTTGACAAGATTAAAATGATCGCCCCCAGAACTTAAATATCAAGAAGATTTCACCCATCATTTTTCATAATCTCAATAAGAAAATGAACTTTTACCAAATTGACTGCCTCAACTATTTGGCCAAATCTAGCCTAAATAAAGTCGATCACAACTGACAAAAGACTACAAATGATGACAGCTTGCCTGGCGTCCGGGTTTATGCATGCCCTTACTTCTTTCACTAGCAAATTCATTACATGTACTACCTCAATCATGTAGCTTTCAAATAGTTAGTTTAAATAAGCATGCTATAAATGTTTCATTTGATAAAATTGTGATATGAAATAAAGACTTCAATTATGGTTGGGCTGCGGGGTGAGTGCATTCACAAAAAACGTCAAACCTTTGAAGAGGTGCATGAGCAGATGGTCATTTTTGTTGTGCAATTCACCACAAATAGAGCTTTCATACAACAATTTTGTTAAGACTAAAATCTTACAAAATGAAGCAGAAACAAGCACTTTGGATTTTAAAATGAATTAGAAAAACTGAAAAGAATTAAAAAGTGAAACATAAAACAGAGCATTCAGGTCTTATAGAAGCACAATTGTAAATGCTAAATATTACCTCAGCAGTTGTACCAGTTGTACCAAAGAGCACTCTTCCATCATCTGAATGCCAATGGACTCTCATCTGAAATAAAGATTTATTCAATCAAATCTGAACATTTATTGAAGAGTATTAATTAGGCAGTACAGCCAGGCTAAAACCAATAATGAAATAAGCTAACACAAGCCAACGTACCACACCAATAGTGTATGGAGCATCAACTTGATGCAGAGCCCTTTCAACAACAGCTTTGAATCTAGGAAGTATCACCCTAAGAGGGAGAGTTGCTTCAGGAAATAAAACAACGCCTACAAGTTGAATAAATGAAAATAAATTTAAATATTTAAACATAAAAAAGGATCATAGTATATGGAATGAATAAACTGCCAAAAATGTACAATGTTCTCTAATAGATCGAATGGCTGGACAGTAATGATGAAGATATCTCATCCTATTAGCTGATGAATAATCCGAACGAGAATATGTGAACCTGTCAGGTACTATTTGACATAGAAAACTATTTAGTGTCCTAAGAAATGCTTCAAGTTTGTAAAATATTTGCACTCACATACAAGTCACTGCAAGTGAGATTTCTATGAAAAAGGAACCAGGATTTCACATCAAGGTTGCACCAAGGTACAGTTACATCTATCAGTCGACATATAAGAAGTCCTAAATTAAGCACAATGTTTTGATCCCCAAGATGAAGCTTTTCACACGTTTGCAAATTTTTGTAATAAAAAAAAGTCTGTGGAATCTAAGTAGACACTTTTAACAATTATCACTCAAAGGGAAACTTCTCTAAATATAAACAGCGGTACTTTTTTCAGATGCACTTTGCGGGTAACCTGGGAAAAGTTGGTGAAAAGAAAGGACAAAAAATTAATCAGCTCTCCAAACTACAAATATAAGATAAAACAGCCAGCACAGGGATTACATATTTTATGGAATATAAGTACGCAGAAACAATAAGGTAGCAAAACTTTAGCCTTACACAGTCTGGCAGACAAATGAGGATATACAGTTGCCAATTAACTCCAAAAAAAAAAAGAGAGATACTCAGGAATTAAAATATTACCTAAACAGCTGGAATTTACCAAACCTAGATGACTCGACAAATTCAAGCAACAAAACTCAAAGTACTTTAATTTTTCAAATACTGTTCAACTTTTGCTTCATTAACAAACAATGACAAATATTATAAGTCTCAAATCAAAGGTCCACCATGGCTTTCCTTCCTATCAAAGCTTCATTGGTTCTCACTGCAAGCTATGCTATAAAGTACACACCTAACAGAATGTTCAGATATTCAAAACCAAATCAACATGCCATTGGGTAAATAACGCTAACTTCAAATGCCATTAATATAAAGCACACACGTCCAATTCAACTTTTAACTGTATAATGTATCACATAACTAACGCAATCCTACCATAGATCCCAGCTCACACTCTTCCTCTCCATCTTTCTCTCTTCATATTATTCTGTCTGATATATTCCTAACTTTATACTTGACATTATGATATTTAGCTAAACTGGTTACGGTTACCAAAACAGGATGTAAAAACAAATTCAAGCAGCAAAACTCAAGCACTGAAAATTTCCAAATACTCTTCAAGCTTTCATTCGCTTGCAAACTTTGAAAGATCAAGAAAAATGCAAAATTATTAGAAGGTACAAAATCCAAGGTCCACAACTACTTCCTTTTCTTGCTTCCATGGTTCTCAATCCATGCTAAGTTGAAGCACAGACTCTCTAAATAGACATTAAAATACTAAGCAGCATGTCAAAATGCCATTTGGAGCACCCTAGTTGACACTTCTTAGGAACCAATGGAAAAATACATGTTAGCTACAAATTGAACAGAACCAATACCGTTCTAATTCTATTATACACTAAATCAATCATGTTATATATAGCAACTCATCACTCTCACCTCATATGGTTGGATGTGACATAATCCTATCTAGCTAGCTATAAAAGAAGCTTAATTTTTATGATGTCCATAAATATAACAATTTCCCAAGTCATGTAGGATCCTAATTTTTTTATGTTTAGAGTCCATGTTTATACCCCCTAATCGCTAAACCCAATTAACTCCCATCAAATGCTCCCAACCAACCAAAAATTTTTAAGCACTCCAATGCTACAACATGTTTGTTCACGGACATGTAACCCTCTAAACTCTTTGACATTGCCATGTATTTACATCGACTCCTACCAAGCCACATGGAATTTAACTTTTTTAAGCTTAATGTCTCTTGATTCAAATCTATCCATGGGTCACACCAGAATTTTATTAACTTGAAGAAAACTTTAAAGGCTCTCTAGGGATGAGGCAGAAAAATAAAAGTCTACCATCACGACAAAAATAATACAGTGATAAGATCCAAAGTCCATAATCAAATTTGAAACCCCCAAACCCATTTTTATAAATAAGCATCGGGATTCTCAAGGTGATAAGAAAAGTTGAAGAATGAACAATACAAGCAATAAATACAAGAAAAAAAAAAGAAGTGCGTATTTTGCAATATAAACTCGGACTTAAATAGTAGTCGATCGTTAGGTCTAAAGGAGTAGTTGGGTCTCATAGAAGTGGGTCAAATAACTTCTTTAAGCATAGTCAGTTGTCTCAGGCTAGATCAATCTAACGTGCCTAGTGATGGCCTTGATCAAGTTCTTCTCAAGCCTGGTGAATATTCTCTTTCTAGTCAACATGTGAGTGCCTGACTCTTAGTGAGTAGATACCTTGAACTTGCTTGGGCAAGTTCTTTTAAAACCCGACTGGTATGTCTCACTGAATTCAGTTGGCAAGTTAGTCCATATCTTCCCTAGAAAGTCAAATTTGATCCCGACTCGATGAGCTTATCCTCTGACGCTCCTTTTGGGTGAGTCTACCCATAGAATACACATTCAATCCTCCAATTCTCTTGTATCTTTGAACAAAAACAACAACAACAAAGCCATAATCCCACTAATGGGGTTGGCTACATGAATCATTTTTTCTCCACTGTGTCCTGTTTAGTGTCATATTTTCATTTAGTTCTAATAAATTAAGATAATTTTTTATACAATAAACCCAAGTTTTCCTAGGCCAAGTTTTCCTAGGTCTAGGTCTACCTCTGCCTTTCTTAACATAAGTCGAATCTAAAACATCTACTTTCCCAATCCTTTTTCTCTTGTATCTTTGAAGATTTATGTATATAAAACACAAGAATGAGTTAATAAACTTTTACAGAAATAAAGTAGATAACTTGATTATCTCTTTGGGCGAGTTAGTTTTCCCCTTGTGCTAATTTCATTTGCTTATTCTATTTGAAGGAAACTCATTAGGGTAAAAATTTAACATCTAAGGTGTACAAAAAATAGGTAATATAGTTTAAGGAAGTTGTGATGGTATTTTGTTCATAAGTTTGACATTTCTATCATTTATTTATAACCATACCTGATAGCTTAAAATTAAACAAGCCACGAATTGAAGTCGGATGACATTAACCTAACTTTTAAAACAAACAATAAGCCATCATAACTTCCAATAATAAAAAAAAGCCAAAAAAATCACAAGTACACTAAACAGAATCCAATTCATCCCAATTATAACATAGCTTGAGAGTCACAATCCAACTAACAATAGGCCAACAGTTCTCCAAATTGAATAACATAAAAACTAGAAGCAAAATAAACAATAAACTATATAATATTAATAGTCCTTCTCCTGTAAATCAAATCCCTCCTGTCAGTTATATTAACCTAATATTTTACCTAAAGAAACAATTAATTTAAACAGCAAATTTATCACAACTTAGTGGGCAAGTATAAACTTATTATACATTAAATTAATATGCAAATTCTATACATGAATATCCAAAAGAAATATAATTCATTAATTAATTAAATTGTAAGCTTTCATTTTAAATTAAACTTTCATGTTTTAATCTAAGTATTTATCTTTTTAACCTTACTTTTCTTTTAAAGAAATTATATCAGAATTACTTGCATACCCGAAGGTATACAAAAAGTTGTAACCATAGATACCCTCAAAATCTTGCACACGTAATTACATCTTTACCAATTCATTTCATTTTCGTGCACGATTATATCGCATCTCATGACAATATATTTGAGAGAAAATCCTTATTGATTAAAATTTTACTTATCATTTTATATCAATTTTAAATGTACTTTTATATATCAATTATTTTTTTCCCATTTGTTAGATATATTTCAGACTTTCAAAATGAAAATTATAAATGAAATATTTGCTTTTAAAACAATACTGCAAGTTCATTTTTAAGAACTTAAAATGTGAATTCAAAATAAATCAATAATTAAAAACAAATAAAAAAATAATTACTCACCTTTGTTTTAAAGGACATCTATACAAGTTTGATCCTCTGACTGCATTTCACTATCGCCCATTTTTGGCTCTACTTCTTTTGCCCAAATCACGATCCAAATCCATAATTCATTAAATCAAATTTTTAACCACTATTTAAAATTATTAATCATACTAATAAACACCATTTTAATTAAATAAAATATTTGATACAAATAAACACCCAAACTATTACCTTACCAAAGTTTGCTTGGATCGATCTCCATCTTCCCTTAGCGAACACTTCACCTACTTCGCCTTCTAAGCTGAAATTTCTATATTTTGAGCATGTTTTAATTAGACTTTCTATTAACATTAAATAAATAAACACACATAAACTTTTTAAATTCATTAAATAACCTGATAAAACCCTAACATACCTTTATCCCTTGCTTGGTCTCACTCTTCTCGCACACCCGAAGCTTCTTCTTCTTTGATAGGGCTCAAACTCCTCTTCCTCTACTCTATCGCATGGTAATAAAGCATGAAGTCGGCTTCCTTCTTTAGTCAAGCGCTCAGCCCAACTCCACTATCATAGGCGCTCCTTCATTTAATGAAATAAAATATTTTATATAAATAAACACCTAAACTATTACCTGAATAAAGTTTATTTAGATCGATCTCCATCTTCCCTTAGCTCAAACACTTCATTTACTTCTCCTTCCAACCTTAAATTTCAATATTTTGAGCAAGATTTAATTAGACTTCTATTAACATTCAATAAATAAACACACACATATATTTTTTATATTCATTGCTTGGTTCGATCTCACTCTTCTCGCAGACCCGATGCTTCTTCTTATCTAATAGTCTTAAACTCCTCTTCCTCTAGTACTTCGCATGGTAACAGTGCATGAAGCCGGCTTCCCTTTTCTGTCGAGCCCTCAACCCGACTCCACTACCATATGCGTTCCTCCCTCCTTCCTCTTATTC